CCATCCGATTTTAACTAATTCAAATAATAAATTTTAATTATATTACCTTTCATATCACTCAATTTCATCACATTTTATTAATCCAAATAAAACTTAAGCATATATACACATAAATATTTATATTTAATTTTTTTGATAATATTTTTTTAAATTTATTTCCTTTCTATCTTTTTCCTTTTGTGTCTCTAAATTAATTTGTAAAAGAAAATAGAAATTCACCTAATAAAAGACTAAAAAATTTACTTAAACTTATTTTCCCCCATAATTTCCCTTCTAATTTTCTTCTCTATGACCAATAAAAGGCAATTTCTTAACCCACCCTATGTATTTCTTACGCACCACGTGAAATTTCATAAATGTCCCTCAAAATCGGAAGTATACTTCTGGTGCGCACCAAATCTGCTAAAATATACATAAAAACCGGAAGTATACTTCCGATTTGGTACCAGATGTATATTTCCAATTTTATTCATTACCGAAACCAAAAAACATTTTTCCAACAATTCATAACAATTCATAACATAGACATAACAAATACATTTAGGAGTTACAACATAAACATAAATTAAACATTATAAATCATAACCTAGGTGGACGTTGCAACATCATGATAATATCATTGATCGGTCTTGTTATAGTCACATCTAGATCGATCGAAACTTTCTCCTTAAAACGAGTAAAAGTATTCCACATAGCCCATAGATCATCATTGTTTTTCAGCTCACGGTTGATGAACACAAGCTTTCCATATTTGTCAACAGATGGCGTGCGGTACTGGATCTTCACAATTTTCCGATTGTCTCCATAAGGTACAAGTACCTGCAATATTTCACGCACATCTTGAATAGGGGTGTACACGGTGAACTTAAATTCGTGAGATGGTGTAGCACCGGTAAAATGGACAACTTCAACATGCCATTTGATGTTCAATTTCATGTCCATTTCTGGTTTTTGGTGTTGTGGTATGAAAAAATATAAGAAGAGAGGTTTTTATAGTAGTTAGAGGTAAACATGAACCATACAAATTCTATCTTTGTGGCAGTGGTAAAACCGGAAGTAAATTTATGGTTTTATACCAGAATTGTAACCGAAAGTATACTTCTGGTAATTGCTCTGGGAGTGAAAAAACTAGAAACAACAACTTATATGAAAAAACCTCATGTATTCATATATTGTATTTTTGGTCAAACCACAAAAATGGCTATATTTCCACATTATAATACATGAACAAAATGACGTTAACAATAAAATGATACCTAACTACTTGAATGAGCTAAAAAAGTGTCACCGGATAAATCCACCGGTGGTACCCCTTTTGACTTTTCCCTATTTTTTTCTATTTCAATTTGTTTCAACTTGTTGTATTCTTGCATCCTTTCAATGCATTTGTCTGGCCAAGTCTCTGATGGATTTGTGAAATGAAGCACCCACTCTGGTGATGTAGGTGGTATAGGGCATCCCGATTTCAAATACACTTAAACAAAATGTCGCAGATTTGAAACCCAGCCAACACATATGACACAATCATTGGGATTTGATGTTGGAGCAGTGCGTAGAGGGAAATAAGCCTCCAAAAAACTGTATATTGTAAAATTAATACACACTCTCTCATACACACTTGCTATGAGATGTCCCATTTCAGGGAAGTACATCCATTTATCCTCTGGTGCACATCCAACCTTGGGAGGTACAAGTCCATGATATATTTCCTCAACCTTATCTTTACTCCCTAACACGTGAGTGTATAATTCTCTATTTCCCGTCAACTCTCTGACAAGTGTATCTCGAACAACATTGTAATACTCTTCCCCTCTATCGAGTAAACCAGAAACAACTTGAAAACCACAATTACTATCACCCCTTACATTGACGATCCGATCAATGTACATGTGCATAAAAACTGGCATGTGATCGAATCACCCTTGCTATTTCCAAGCCAATTCTTCATAAATGCATGTGCAGACTCAACTCGATTTGTTGTTGTATTACTGAGGTGTATAACCTGATTGGTCCATGCACAAACAACCTTCTCCTTAACCTGATCTAGAATTGTGCTTTTAACATATTTCAATATATGGAGATATTTCATGTAAACATTCCTGAACTGTAAAACAACATCTGCGTATATCTCTTTTGTAGATGAATTTATGATAACATTCATGCATCCATGATTTTCTCCACAATGACGCCCGATTTGACCAATTTTGCATCTTCCCCTGCAACTTGTTTTGTCTCCACCGTAGGTTTAACCCGACTTCTCACATTTTTAGTAACATGGTACCTACAAAGTAATGCATAAGAAGTGGGAAATACCGTTGCAACTGAATTCATCAAAGCGGTATCACGGTCGGTAACAATGACTTTCGGCATATCTTCTTGATCCTTCAACATTGACCTACAAACCTCTAAAGCACATGCAAAGTTGTCCTCTTTTTCGCATTCTAGAAATGCAAAACCAACAGAGTACGTCTTCTCAGTAAATGTAACACCAACAATTTCCAACAATGGAAGCATGTACTTGTTGGTCTTATACGTTGAATCAATTATGAGCATGGTGGGAGACGTACTAAATAATTTAATGGAATCAGGACGATTCCAATAAATATTTCTTACAGTTACTCCATCATCACCTTGTCGGTGCCTACAAATTGTTTTCATCTAGAAGTTTCAAGAGGTGTTACATCTCGGTTCGATCCTCCCTAAGCACTATTTTGGTTTTATAGCGCTTATTGTAAACTTGTTTAATATTTCATGTGTTCTCGAGTCTTTTGCGCTTCAAGGTTGCAAGTATGTTTTTGGGCGGTACCAAATTCAAAGTCATATCAGCAACACATGTCTTCTCATCCGGAAGGAGTCGACATGCAATTGGATGACCGACTAACTTTTGAGTTAAATCACGATTATGTAAACTGCATAGCACATTAAATTTTCATTTCTTATTTGCCATAAGATAGCCATGCAATCTAAATGGAAATTCACATTTTCTTGAACCGCTGTCGCCGCGTTTGAAATTTTGGATACGATGTATGTATTTCCCACTTCTTTCGTATGTCAAAATCACAAATTCATTTCTTCTAGTCGTACCATTATCGGACCTTCCGATCACAACACCAAATCCTAGTTTGTAGCCTCTATACGAATCCACTACAACATGTCTTCATGTGATTCAAATTCTTCAACATTTTCAAATTGCTCCCAAACATCTACTACCTTAATTGCGAGAGGAGAAACCACGATAGTCGAAAGAACTTGAGACACGTTAGGCTTAGGATTATTATCGGGGTGCACCATACTTAATATTAGATAAAACATAATTTTTATTAACATGGAACATTGATAGACTGCTATAAAAAAACACAGACAGAAACCAGAAATTAACTGCCAGTTTTGTTCAACTAACAACCAGAAGTATACTTTCGGTTTTCACGTAATCTTTTTATGCAGAAAAGAACATATTAATGTAGGGAATGAGGGGTGAAATGAATAAACTTTACCTGAAATTCAACTTTCTTGAGCTCTTTCTGATATGATGAACCATAAAAATAATTATTTGGAGTAGAAAATAGATTGAGAATGATGACAGTTTCTGAGAGATTTTTAGAGAAGAAAGAAGAAATGGTGGTGATCAAGCATGAGCATATTGGTTACTGTTTTAAGTAAACTGTATATTTCCTAAAATCGGAAGTATACTTTCGATTCTATATGAAATACCAACGTGCCAATAAAATACAATCTTCCTATTAATAGAACCGGAAACACATTTCTAGTTTCCATTCGAAAGTATATTTCTGATACTTTTTATTATTATTAAGGACGACACCTCAATTGGAATTTTTTCCCAGAATGCCACGTTTTTTAAATCAATTTCCTAGAATGCCACCTTCTAAAAAAAATTGCCCAAAGTGCCACACCCAGGGGGGTTTCACGCCATTTCAAATGGTGCGGATGTGGGCTGCAAAGGTTCTCACCAACTCAAATGGCGTGAAAGGGCCTAATTAAAATTTTTTTTCGTTTTCTTCTTTTTACTTTATTTATATTAATTATTTTAATTATTTAATTTTATTATTAATTACAAATAATTTAATAAACTATTTAATTATAAAATTAATTAATAAAATATTAATTTAAAAACTTAAATAATTATAAACTTAAAATAACTATTTAACAATTACAATTAAATAATAGTTTTTTTTTATTAAATAATAAAATTTCACAATTACAATCAAAATACTAAATAAAAAAATACAGTTAAAATTACACAATTACACTATTTAATGTTGATAACCCGGTCCAAAACGAGTACCGGTAAAACAATAACGCGGTTGCAGAGCACGATGACCAAAACCATATTGTTGTTGGGTCTCTGTTGTTGGAGGATTTTGTTGTGTTGCATCTGATGTTGGAGGATTTTCTTGACTAGGAGCTGTAGCTTGCGGAGGAGACCAAATGCTTTTCAGTAAATCATAATCACTGACGTTAAGATCCTCGCCAAAATTACATTGCGGTTGTTGTGGCGGACACATGGTTGGAAAATAAGGCGTTGTAGGGTTATGTTGGGAGGAAGAGGAATCGAAGTTTGGTCGCATGATGGGTGTGAATTGTTTAGTTGGCCTATGATATATTTGTGGTTGTTAGGATTCATAAATGTAATTTGGTTGGGAGTGAGATTGCGGGTATTGGGTGTTAAAGGTTTGATTTTGGTAAAAATAAGGGGCAGGAGTTTGTAGTTGAGAAAAATGAGGGTTAGAAGTTTGTTGTTCAGGATAATGGGGGATGGGTGTTTGATGTTGGGAAAAGTGAGGAGTTTGTTGTTGGAAGGATTGGGGATGAGGAGGTTGAGAATGTTGTGAGTGGTTAGGTTGTTGAGAGCCACTTTCCTGAGTAGGGGCATATTGATTTTGACGAGGGTCAGTGAGAAATTATTCGTACGATGCATATTTATGTGGAAGCGAGTGATACCATTGCATGTACTCATTTGACGGTTTCTCCTCTATTTGTAATTAATCTCCATCCAACATAAACAATTCTCGATGCAACCAACAATTTTGTTCATCAGAGTATAATGTGGTATATGCTTTTTGGCGCGCTTTTATTGTTGTCATCTTATGGTGTTCAACCAGGCATTGAGGTTCTTCAGGTATCCCTTGTAAATGGCCAAATTGTAGTTTGACCCTATCTGCTTGATGCATTTCTACAATATGAAAACATATTATATATGTAGTTGAACTCCATATCAAACTGTCCTCGTGCCTTTGGGGCGCTAATCCAAGATACGGCCTCCATATAAACTGAAAAGTTATAGATAAAACTTGTTAATTTAACCAAAATAAAATTCATAAATTTATAAGAAGTATTAAAGTGAAGACAAAAAAACCTGATCTTGAAGCATGTGATCAATCCTGAATCGGTATCCTTGTAGATGGTGGCGCGGGTTGTTTTGGTAGTCAAGTTTCTTGATGCACCACCTAAAAAGAATTTAAAATTAAACTGTATTTTAAAGTATCCTAACAATTTTAATTATAAATTTAAATTTAAATTAAAATATTACCTTCTTGCGTAAGGATATGGAGCTTGAAGCGGAGCCACCAGAGATATAATAGGCATGCGTGTAAAAGCCCAAGCTTGAAGAAGTAAAACGCATCCTGACATCTCGGTTACTTTTATGTCTACAGACTTGCACATTTCCCTATATAGATTAGCTAAAACAGTGAAACCCCAACTCAATTTTCCACAATCTTCCAAATCCACAACAAATTGTGTCCATTTTGAGTGTATAGTATTACCGCTTTTGTTAGGAAACAAAACTTGCCCGATAAGCAGTAAGATATAAATACGAGCATGTTTAATTTTATACTCCTTAGGTGACTCCTCGGTTGGTGGTTCATGTTGGTACATGTCTTTAAGCCATATCAACCTCGCAGTCATTCCCTTATCACTTTGTGGTGGTTCATCCCCTAAAATAGAACTCCATGCACCACCACCTAGCTCGGATGGACCATTTACCGCTTTACCATCTACATGAAGCCCCAATAACATACTCACATCTTCCAATGTAATTGTGCATTCACCGTTTGGAAGATGAAATGTATGAGTTTCGGGTCGCCACTGTTCTAGTAAGGCTATAATTAACCTTGAATCGATGTGTGTGGACCCTATTGTAGATACATGGTAGAAACCAGATTGGTGAAGGTAAGGGATTATGACTGCATGTGGCTTTAGAGGTTTGTGAGCACGAATTCTCTATTTTGAAATATAAGTATCATCAATCTGTAATAGAAATAAGTAATATAGAAAAATATCCAACATTTCTATGCAACAAAGTTTTATGAATAAAACTAATATTGTAAACTCAAAAATAAATAATATGAATAATATTGAATAAATCAAAAATACTTACAGCATTGATATTTTTTATTGTTCCCCTATGTTGTGTATCATACCAAAACATATTGGCCATAATTGTGAAAATGAAGAACTGATTGAAGACTTATCAAAAGAGAGTAGAGAGTGTGTAGTGAATAGAATGTGGTGTGTTTGTGGAAAAATGAGGTGAGAGTGATTGAGTATTTATAGGAAAAAATTGAGAGTGATGATAGTTGGTTGGTAGTTGAATAATTTAATTAATTGTGGTTGATAGGTAGTAGAGAAATTTAATTAGAGTTGGTAGGTAGTAGAGTAATTTAATGAAAGTTGAATAAATATAAATTTGTATACTTATTGAGAATATTGTAAATTACATGGTTTTGTACACAAAGATAAAACTTCATCGGCTGATCTACTGAATCTGACATACAACTCAAACGGTGTTTTATTAACCCTAATTCGAAAATCCTCAAACATGTTAAATACATCTGTATTTGTAACTAACTTTGTAATATGCTGCATCAACACTCCATTTTCGTTGATTATAGCCTGGTTGAAAGATATCTCTGTAATGCTCCTATTAATATTTGTGATTTGACGTAATTGATTTTTCAAGTGAATGAGTTTAGATCTTTCCATAAGCCGTACAACCAAAGGATTAGAAAATGTGTTTCTATAATCAAACATAGCAACTTGTGAATTATACGGAATAATGTATACTGAGCAAAGTATCAGAGTCATTTTAATCTGAAAACAGAATCGTTTTATGTTGCATTTATATGCATGGCACGTATGCTATTCACGCCAGCATCCATGTTCTCACGCCATTTGACTTGGCGCCTACCAATGCTTCACGCCATTTGAGTTGGCGCGAGTGTACTGTTCACGCCATTTGACTTGGCGCCTACCAATGCTTCATGCCATTTGAGTTGGCGCGAGTGTACCCAGAGCATGTTCACACCATTTTAGTTGGCGACAGCATGCGCGCAATAAATCCAACAAATAGCTGTTTGTTTATTAATACATTCATGCAATAAATCTAACATGGTTGTTTGTTTATTAATACCAACGTAGTCACAAAATCATATTTATTGTCTCTTACATTTCAATGGTAATATTTTTACCGATGATAATATTGGAGTGGTCTTTCAAAATACAGATACACATATTTTAAATATTCATCGAAAACGTGATTTAGCCCACTTGACGAAAAAAAATAGAAGAAACTTTACAATAACATGTAACTTCTATTTTTTATCGATTTCCAATAGTTAATCCAGTTGATCACAATGTCACATACAACACTGCAAAAATCGAAGACGGTGAAGATGCCCGTTCAATGCTTCAATGCCACTCAAGGTTTTGCAGTCAACAAACAATGGTGTTGTATATTTGTTTTCAACAACTGTAGGAAGTATATCCAACACAATCATCACAAACGCAACATAACGAGCCAATATTTCCGGAAGAGGAAGTGGGTGATGATACTGACTCCGATGATGCCAGCTAAATTAATTTGTTTAGTGGGTCCAGTGACGAGTCAGGTGACGATGACAGACTGTAGGCAGACCCGACTCCTATACTTGATCTATACAACCCGCTTTATCACTTAAGAAATGTTTCATTTGAATGTGTGGAACCAATTTCAGTCTTTGAACCCTTAGACGAACGTGAGTCACGTAAAGACTTAAAGGTTGGTATGACGCTTGAAAACAAAGAAGCATGTCTCCCATGCAATATCTGAGTATCACATAAAAAATTCTTATACTTTTAAGGTTTGTAAGTCTGATCCAACACGATATTTAATTAAATGTAAAAAGGAGGGATGCAGCTTCACATGTAGAGCTTCGTTAAGGGAGGGGTGTGTTAAATGGGTTATTGGAAGAATTGGAGGGCCACACACTTGCATGTCGACTGCTATATCTCAAGATCACCAAAAGCTTACCTCAAATATGATCGCCCATAACATCAGACCTCTTGTTGACAGTGACGCGGCAATCAAGGTTAGCCATATTATTGCTCATATTCGTACGACTTATGGTTACACCGTGTCTTACAAAAAGGCATGGATTGCAAAGAACAAAGCAATTGAAGATATTTATGGCAATTGGGAGGCCTCTTACAACAACCTTCCGTAGTGGTTGCTAGTGATGCAACAATTTCTCCCAGGTACCTTCATAGATCTTGAAACACTTCCTGTATATTCAAATTAAGGAACACAAATTGGTGGTGCAAGAATTTTCCATCGCCTTTTTTGGGCATTTCAACCTTGTATTAGGGGCTTCGCACATTGTAAACCTATAGTGCAGGTAGATGGTACATGGCTGTATGGAAAATATAGGGGAACATTGCTCCTGGTTGTTGCACAAGATGGGAATGGTAACATTTTCCCAATCGCATATGCATTGGTCAAAGGTGAGACTGGGAGGGCTTTGAGTTTCTTTTTGAAAAATTTGAGACTCCACGTCACACCCCAATCAGACTTATGTTTGATATCTGATCGACATGAGTCCATTAAGAGTGCCTACAATAACCCGGATAATGGCTGGCAGAACCCACCCTCGGTGCATGTGTATTGCATTAGGCACATCGTGTAACGCCCGTAGTTTAATTAATTGTTTAATTAAATTATTTTTGGAATATTTGTGAAGATGTGTTGTGACTAATTGGATTTAAGTATTTTATTAAGTGGAGAAATAATATTAGAAGTATAATATTATTTGATGTGGGCTTATTTTACAGGAATAAAAGTAATAAGGGGGTGTATTAGTTTTAAGCCCAATAAGGAATAAAGAATAATAGGTTATTTTATTATTGTTAGAAAGGATAGAAAGAAGAGGCAGTAGAAGAATAAGGATTGAGAAGAAGAATGTGAAGTTGCTGGAAAAAGAGGAAAAATGACAGAACGAGAATTCAATCGGAAGATTATAGAGCAATGTTGTACCCCAAAATATTCCCTCCCATTTCCTCAACATTTTCTCATCACAAAACCCTTGGAGCTCAAGATCCAGTTAGGGTTTCCTCTGCTCAAGACTTCTCCTTGCACTGTTGACCCAAATTAGGGTTTGTGTTTGCACAAAGATGTTTTGACCTAAGAAGCCTAATATGACTTTCATGCTTCATGTTGGACTCCCAAGTTTATCCATGCAAAGTTTCAAGTCTTGATTCCAAATTTTGCCCAGTCAATTGGACAGTTGACCTAGAAATCAACTGTATTGGGGAAAAAGTCAATTGTGGCCAATTGACAGTCAAATCTCATGAAAATTGACCCACATCAACATTATGAACTCAAATGGACCATTTGATCAAGTTTGGATCACAATTCCACAAGAAATTTGATCAGATCATCAAAAGGGCAAAATGGTCATTTTTAGGGTTTTGACTGCACCAAGGCAATTTTTGACTGTTTGACCTAGCCAATGGCAAACCAAGCTCACATATGGACTCAAGGGCCCCATGGAATTATCTTGACATGCTCAAAAAGTTCAAAAGATCCCAAATACACAAGATTGACAGTTGAATTTCCCAGTCAATTGATCAATTTTGACTGTATACTGAAAAGTCAAACTTTGACTTTTTGGTCAAAATCAAGGGTCAAGATTCATTTTTCATCAAAACATGCCAAATCATGAAACTTGTTCACCAAGAAATCAAAAAATGCAAATTAGGGTTTGAAATGGAAATTTTTCATAACTTAGAATTTTTCTAAGTTATGGAAAACCCTAATTTTTTCCCAACTTTGCCCCACTTTCTCACCAAGATTCATTTGGATTCAAACAAAAGTCAAAACATGAAAGTTGTAGCTTGTTGCATAATCTACAACTTTGATTCACAAAGTTTTCCCAAATGAGGCTTGTATCTCAAGTTACAATTTTTGGAATAAGGGTACTAAACCATTCTTAACTTAGTGAAATTTTAACCTATTTTGGCAAGGTTTTCTACCTAACTTCAAGGCCATTTTCCATACACTTTCACTTGGAATTTCACTTTGCATTTCAAATATGGATTGTAGTACACATTCCAAGCTTTCCAAAATGTCCAAGAACTTCTCAAACAACCTCATGGTTAGGGAGAATCGAATTTTGCAATATGGCAAAAACTCACTTTTGATTAGGCCAAGTTACATGTTCATAGCACTATGCATTTCAATCTCAGCTTGCACAACTTGATTACAGGCCTTTTATCTCAATTACACTCATAAATTTAATGCATATTCATTGTGCCAAGACCATGTTCTTTGTGTTCTAGCATTGCATAGTGGATTAATCCCAAAATAGATAAAGTACTTTATCCATTTTTGCAAAAGCAAGCTTTATGTCAAATTGAAAATCCAAGCAAGTACAGATACAATCTAATTGACACAAGATTATGAGCATAACACACTGATCAAGGAGGAGTTTTGCAGCATGATTAGGGGCCCTCTACATGCCTAGAACACAACTTGGCTTTTCTTGCTTAAGTGTTAAGAAACATCCCATATCACAACAGAATTTTCAGCTCAACATTAATAACCTTAAGCAAATATTGTAGAC